AAATAAAAAGAAATATTAATATTACAGATTCTAAGACACCAGAAAGACCACAACAGATTATTATAAGCAATTTTAAGCTAATAAATTTGGAAATTTAGATGACAATTTCCTAGAGCAATGCAACTTATCAAAGCTAGCACAAGAATAAATAGGAAATAGCCATAAATTGCATTTGTAATGTAAAAATCTTCTCATAAAGAAAACTTCTGCCACAAATGGCTTCATTGATAACACCTTACAAAAATTTAAGGTAGAAATAACATTGAAAGTAAAAAAAAATCCAGAAAATAACTGGAGAAGGAATATTTCCCAATATGTTTTAGGAGACCAGCTAAATTTGATAACAAAATATGGCAGAGACAGTAAATTTCATGTTTTGTGTGAACACAGGTGAAAAAATTTACACAAAATATTAGCAAACTAAATTCAGTAATATTTATAAATGATACGCCAGGTGCAGTGGCTCATGCCTGTAATCCTAACAGTCTGGGAAGCCAAAGCAGGAGGATCACTCGAGGTCAGGAGTTAGAGACCAGCCTGAGCAAGAGTGAGACACCATTTCTACTAAAAATAGAAAAATTAGCCAACCATCATGGTACGTGCCTGTAGTCCCAGCTACTCAGGAGGCTGAGGCAGGAGGATTGCTTAAGCCCAGGAGTTTGAGGTTGCTGTGAGCTAGGCTGACACTGAGGCACTCTAGCCCAGGCAGCACAGCAAGACTTTGTCTAAAAAAAAAAAAAAAAAAGATAAAACATCATGATTAAAATGTGCACATTCTAGGAATGCTAAGAATATTTAACATTCAAACAAAAAAAGTCAGAACAAAAGAAAAATATCTCAAAATATAGCATCTATTTTTGGATTTAAAAAATCTCTTTTAGTTCAAAAGAAATAGAAGGGAACTTCTTTTAATCAGTTAAGAGATTTCTACAAAAACCCCAATAGCACATTTAATACTTAATGATGAAGTACTCAGCACTTTCCTCTGAGATCAAGAATGAGACAGTGGTTATCACTTATATTCACCATTACTGAAGGTGCTAGACAGTACAGAATGGCAAGGAAAAGAAAAAAAATATATAATGTTTGGGAAGGGAAAGATAAAACACATTATGTGAGGATAATAGGATTATTTATATAGAAAATCCAGAAGAATCTATGTATACATTATTAGAATTAATAAATGAGGATTATAAAGATCCTGGGAACAAAGATAATACACAAAAATTATCTATTATACTAGCATTAGCACCAAAAATTAGAAAATAAAAATTTTGTAATTACCTTTTATAGGAGCATCAAAGAGCAATGCATAAATCTAACAAAAGATGTGCAAGACTTCTATACAGAAAATTATAAAGCACTGTTGAGAGAAAATATAGAACTAAATAATGTTACAAATTAGGTTTCCCAAAAGAAGATGCTGATATGAAGGTTGAGTGCTACAAGTTTATTAAGTATCAACACCTATGAAAGGAAGGGGAAGGAAAAAGAACTGGGCAGAGAAAGAATCTGAACTGTAACGTAAGTCCCCCAAAGCCTGGGACAGTCCTGCAGAGAGCTCTAAAGTGAATACTGCTCAATAGAGTTGTTCCACATCACAATGGCTTTTATACCCATCTCCCCACCCACCACACTCTGCTCAGTCACTGGATGTGGACTGTCCTGGAGAGCACTGACCCAGGGTCAGGCAGTTGTCTCCAGTTAAGATAGGAACTGAAGATCCTCACAGCTAAAGGCTGTCTCCTGACCATACTCCCTGTGACTGGGTAGTAAGGCCTTCTGTAAAAAGAGATCTGAGTAGCATATCTCATATTTCCCACAAATGGTCATAGATTGGAGCTCCATGATATCAATTTTCTTTAAATTAATCTAAATATTCAATACAATCCCAATCAAAATCCCAACAGATTTTTAAAACATTTTTATTGTGGTAAACTACACATGACACAAATTTAACATTAGAGACATTTAGTATTTTCATAATATTATACAGTTAATATCTACTTCCAGAACTTTTTCATCACTCCAAAAGGAAATCCTATACCCATTAAGCAGTCACTCCCTGCCCTGGCCCTGATAACACAGGCCCTGATAACAAGGCTCTGATAACCACTAATCTTCTACCTCTTTTTGAATATTCTCTAATTGTTAAGACATGTCCATGTATCTTTTTCCTCAGCTTCTTCCTTCATAGGCTGTTGGCTCTGCCTGTTCTTGCCTTGTCTGCCCTATCTCTTGCCTCAGGTGGCTGCAGGTAGTATATGACTTTAAATGCTAGAAGCTAGCCCAGCCTTGGGACTACATGGAGAGCAGTGAAACAAAGGCAAACCTCTGTGATTCTCAGGGAACTTCCAGACATGTCAAAATGGACAACTATTAAAGACACCTCCAAAAGATTTGATAATTAATTCAGTAAAGTTTCAGGATACAAAACCAATGTATAAAAATCAGTAGCATTTCTATACATCAATAACAATCAGGCTGAAAGCCAAATAAAGAAAGCAATCCCATTTATAATAGATACAAAAGGAATAAGTAAAATACCTAGAAATGTATTTAACCAAGGAGGTGAAAGATCTGTACAAGGAAAACTACAATACACTGTTGAAAGAAATTGTAGATGACACGAACACCTGCAGAAACATTCCATATACATTGATCAGAAGAATCAATATTGTTAAAATGACCATACTACCCAAAGTAATCTACAGATTCAAAGAATTTCTATCAAAATACCAAAGTCATTTTTCACAGAATTAAAAAAAAATCCTAAAATTCATATGGAACCAAAAAGGAGCCCAAATAGCCAAAGCAATCCTAAGCAAAGAACAAAGCTAGAGGCATCATCACATTGCTTGGCTTCAAATTATACTACAAGGCTATAGTGACCCAAACAGCATAATACTAATATAAAAATAGACACATAGATCAATGGAACAGAATAGAGAACCCAGAAATAAAGCCACATACCTACAACCAATTAATATTTGACCAAAAAAAGTCGACAAAAACATATTCTGGAGAAAGGGCATCCTTCTCAATAAATAGTGCTGAGAAAACTGGATTGCCATAAGTAGAAGAATGAAACTTGACCCATATCTCTCACCATATACAAAAATTTCTGGGTATATACCCAAAGGAAAATAAATTATTGCATCAAAATTATACCTGCACTCATGTGTTTATAGCAGCCCTATTCACAATATCAAAGATATGTAATCAACCTAAGTGTCCATTAACCAATGACTGGATAAAGAAAATGTGGTATATACGCAATAGAATACTACTCAGTTATAAAAAAAATGAAATCTTGTCTTTTGCAATAATATGGATGGATCTGGAGGCCATTATCTCAAGTGAAATAATTCAGAAACATAAAGTCAAATATCACATGTTCTCACTTACTAGTGGGAGCTAAATAATGTGGATACAGGATATATATAGAGTGTGGAATAATAGACACTGGAGATTCAGAAGGGTAGGAGAATGGGAGGGGAGAGAAGGATAATTACTTACTTAATGGGCACAATGTACACTGTTTGGGTAATAGTTACACTAAAGCCCAGACTTCACCACTATGCAATATATCCATGTAACAAAACTGCATTGGGGCCAGATGCAGTGGCTCATGCCTGTAATCCCAGCACTTTGGGAGGCTGAGGCAGGAGGATTGCTTGAGACCAGAAGTTTGAGACTAGCCTGGACAACATAGTGAGACCCCCTCTACAAGAAAAATTAGCTGGGCATGGTGGCACACAACTGTACTCCCAGCTACTTGGGAGGCTGAGGCAGAATGATCACCTGAGCCCAGTAGTTTGAGGCTGCAGTGAGTAAGCTATGATCCCGCCACTGCACTCCAGTGTGGGCGATAGAACAAGACCTTGTCTCTTTTAAAAAATGGTTCAGACAGTAAATTTTATGTTATGTATATTCTACCACAATAAAATAAATTAGAAAAAAAGAAATAGTAATAAAAATAGAATACATAGCCAGGCACAGTGGCTCACACCTGTAATCCCAGCACTTTGGGAGGCTGAGACAGGAGGATCACTTGAAGCCCAGAGGTCAAGACCAGCCTGGGCAACACAATGAATGAGACCCTGCCTCTACAAAAAAAAAAAAAAAAAAAAAAAAAAAAAAATAACTGCTAAAAACCAGTAACAGAGCACACATGCACACACGCACATGCACACGCACACATATACATAGGAAACTTGAACAAGCACTTTGCAAAAGATTTTCAATTGCATTAGTATCAGGGAAATGCAAACTAACAATATCAAGTATTAGTGAGGAGGTAGAGTATTAAGAATTCCCCCAAATTGCTGGTATGAATATAAATTAGTATAATAACTTTGGAAAATAGTTTGGAATTATCTCCTAGAGTTCTTATAAGCATAATTCATCACTCAGCAATTCCATTTCGAGTATAAGCCAAAAAAATGTGTGCATGTTTACACTAGGAGACATGAATAAGAACATTCCCAGAAGCAGTTATTATAATAGCCCCGAACTAGAAACAATACAAAGGTCAGTCAACTGTAGCATGAATAAACAGTAATATGTTAATAAAAGGGAATAATGCCTATTAATTAAAAATGATTGAAATTTAGCTATGTACATTCAAATGTAATGTTGAATTAACAAATCTATACTCTTAAAGCATACTATAGGCATTCTATTTATACACAAAACTAAAGTATAATGTTAGAATTCAAAATAGTGATTGCCTTTTGGAAGAAGGGAGTTGGCAGTGATTTGTAGGGCACCTGAACGGGGTGATAATGGAGTATGAAAACATTGATCTGTGTGATGGGTGTTAGTTTTGTGCAGATTCATTGAGCTATATATTTATGATTTATGAACTTTCAACTTGTAATAATACTTTAATAGAAGAGTTTTAAAAAAGAAACAGATAAGAGCACATTGAATTGATAAAGCAGCCACACATTTTTAAGGAAAAAATAAGATGCTGTATCAATAAGTAATGTCCTTACCTCTCTAGGATTAATATATTTCATTATCTGACGTGGTTCCCCTTGTCTTCTTAAATAAATCAGACCTTTCAAATGTTTGTATACAGTGACATTCTAAAGGTTCAAACACATGAGATTTTATGGTCAAACTGGATTTTCTACTTCTACTTAGCTTTTTGCCCAATTAGGGCAAAAATATGTAAAAACCATAAATTAGATTGTATATATATGCATGAGATTTTAGAAATATTATCCACTCAAGGTTTGCTTCAATAAGCCAGGTAATACTGGTAGTATTCTCACAAAGAGTTTTACTCTTAAATTTATAACTACATCACTACCAACTATAAGTATAATATCCAAAACTTTGGTTGGGTCACCTCAGTATACTCTCCACAGTAATCTAGGAGAAAAACAAAATACAGCCTACTGGTTAAGAATTCATGGTACAATATTCAGATTGGGTTCAATTGTTAGTACTTACTAGCTGAGTGACCTTGAACAACTTGCTTAACCTCTTTGTTCTCAGTTTCTTTGACTATAAAATGGGAATGATAGTAGCTATCTCATACAGTTATGGTGAAGGATAAATGAATTATATTTATAAAGCACTTAGAATAGTTTGTGGCACAAGAAAGCACTCAATAAATGTTAATAGTTGTTACCACTGCAGAATCCTCCTCATTCCTGTAGTAATTCCACTGATTTACAAACCTTGCCCACTTTTCACATTAGTGCAAATTTAGTCAGCCAACCCCAAACAATTCTTTTTCTTTTTCTTTTTTTTGAATAATGAAAACATTTATTATTTGTCCATTTCAGCACAATTTAAATGAAATACACCATAGGCAAAAATCTTGAATCTGTTTCTTACAGACCTACAACCTCAGATCATACATCCTTTTCTTAGCATCACTAAAGATAGCTAATGTCTCTTCTCTCTGACCCTCCTAGTTCTAGTGCACTTTACCTCACTAAAACACATTATTCTGCAAGTTGCATCAGGTAGACATTTTGATCTGAATCATTTACACTTAATTCTTAAACAAAAGAACTAATGTCTGGCTAAAAGAATTTTGGGCCTCAAGTAGGCACAGGGATTTTTATGAGGCCAGCTCATAACAGACTTGAAATTTTACCCCAAACAATACTTCTTAGAAAACAATTTCTTTGGTAACCCTCCCCTTAAGCCCTACCCCGTCCCCAAACTTCTTACTTACTCTTGGTAAACTCCCTTCCTCAGTTTACTTATGTTAAATCAAATAAAATAAATTCAAATTGAAGTAATCCATAGTACCAGTATGACAATTCGAGGCCCTGTTGCAATTGCCTATGGAAGATGGTATAGCCCATGTCAACACAAAGAGTACTTTTTCTAAAAGGAAGACATACTTTTCCCCAAGTAAAATCCCACATTGCGTATAAAAAAAATTGTAGTATGGTTTAAAATCTTAATAGTATCTTCTAAATATGTAGATTACTGTATTAGTTATCTACTGAGACACAACAAGTCACCCCAAAACTCACTGGCTTAGAACAACAACTATATTATTTCTTTCTTTCTGTTAGTTAACAGGGGAGTTCTGCTGGTCTTGCTTGGACTCACACATGTGGTTGTAGTCAGCTGCCAGATCAGTTGGAGGTGGGTGATTTAATATGGCTCACACATATAGCTGGGTTTTCAGGTGGGATTACTGGAATATCTAGGATGGCTTTCTCTCTACATAGAGTTTCAGTTTGAGCTTCTTCATTGCATGGAGGTTTCAAAGTACCAAAGAGAGAAAGAAAGTAGAAGTTGCAATGCTTCTTAAGGCCTTATCTTAGAAGTCACACAGCAACATTTATTCTACATTCTATTGGTCACACTCAAGTCCTAGCAGGCTTCAGGAGGTCAAGTACAAGCTGTGACCCGTAGGAAGTTCCACATATACTACAATCTCACTCAGAGGTTGGTCTGAAGTACAGTGGAGAAGTGAAATCCTTCCACAGGTTAGAATGTAAAGTAGCATAACTGGTTTGTATTGTGCCTGAAAGGTGGCCAGAAGTATAGATCTATAGATGTATGGTGATGGATGATTTATCTGGATGGTCAGGGATTTGGAATGAACATGGTTAGAAAATTGGTGACAAGACAGTTTGGGGAAAGGGGTATGTGCACAGACCTCTCCAAATGGGAACCAAGTGTGAAGATATTTGTGTTCTATATGAATGTTCAACAAAGAACAATCACAGCAAAGAAGAATCTTAATAATCAGATGGGCAAGATGATTCATTCTTTGGAATCAGTCAGCCTTTTTCCCCAGCTACTGCTCTCCTTGTCCAACAGGCTCATGAACAAAGTGGCCATGACACCAGGAATGGAGTTTATTCATAGACTCAGCAAAATGGATTTCTACTCAATAAATATGGCTACTGCCACTGCTGAGTGCCCAGCTTGCCAAAGCAGAGACCAATACTGAAGCCCTAATATGGCATAATTCCTTGGCAGAACTAGATAGCTTCCTATGACAGATCAATTATTTGAAACACTTCCATAATGGAAGGGGCAACACTTTGTTCTCACTGGACCTAACACTTTACCCTTCCATGGGCACAGATCTTCTATAAAAACTACCGTCAAGGCCGGGCACGATGCTCACGCCTGTAATCCTAGCTCTCTGGGAGGCCGAGGCGGGTGGATCGTTGGAGCTCAGAAGTTCAAGACCAGCCTGAGCAGAGCGGAACCCGTCTCTACTAAAAATAAAAAAAAATAAAAAAAAGTTAATTGGCAACTGAAAATGGAAAAAATAAATAAATAAAAAAAACTACCATCAATATACTCTGAAAATGCTTTATTCATTATCACAGTATCCCACATAACATTGCTCCTAATCAGAAAACTTGGTTCACAGCAAATGTAGCACACCAAAAAAACAAACAGACATACATAGATACCCATCACCCTAAAGCAACTGGCCTGATAGGATGGTGGAATAGCATTTTGCAGACTCAGTTATAATAGAGTTACAGTGAACACTTTTCAGACTAGGTTGATGTCTTCCATGTTGTAATAGATGCTATTTCTCACCATATGTTGGTATATGGTGGCATTCATGAGTTTGGGTATCAAGGGATAGAACTGGAAGTGGCTCCCTCTCAATATTACCTTTAATAATCCACTAGTATAAATTTTGTTTACTAACCTTTGGGTTCTGCAGATATAAAGGTCTTAGACAAAAGATAACAAGTGTTCACAATAATGGAGAGTAAAGGGAACTCTTGCATATTGTTGGTGAGAATATAATTAGTAAAGCCATTATGGAAAACAGTATGGAGGTTCTTTAAAACATTAAAAATATACTACCTTATGATCCAGCAATCCTACTTTGGGCATATATCCAAAGGAGTATCAGTACTAAACTCTCATGTTCATTGTAGCATTACTCACAATAGCCAAGATAAAAAAAATCAGTGTAGGTGTCCATTAATGAATGAATGGGTAAAAAAACAGGGAAATGTTGGTCAAAGGATAAAAAATTTCAGCTACACAGGAGGAATAAATTAAGGAAATCTATTGTACAATATGGTGACTGTAGTTAAAAACAATGTATGTATGCTTGAAAAGTGCTGAGAAAGTAGATTTTAAGTATTCTTACCACAAAAAAATGAGAATGTAAGGTAATGCATATGTGTTAATTAGCTTAATTTAGCCACTCTATAATATATACATGTTTCAAAACATCATGTATACCATAAATATACATAATTTTTATATTTCAATTAAAAATATTAAACATTTCATATTGATAAGGCTCAACTAAACAAGGAGCTATAACAATCCTTAGCTTGTATGTATGTACTAATATTATTTCAAAACATATAAAACTAACATTGACAGAATTCCAGGAGATATACATAAATATCCAATTATAACCAGAGACTTTAACACACTTCTCTTAAGAACTAAAAGAACAGGAAGAAAATCAATAAGGCTACCAAAGATTTTAACAATATAATGAACTAATTTTGTGTGACTTCAGAATACATTTTTTTCCTCAAGTTTACATGTAAGTAACATTTACCAAAACAGATTTTTTTGGGGCCATAAAGCAAGCTTCAACAAATTTCAAATTGTTAAAGTCATACAAAGTATGTTTTCTGGCTTCAGTAGAATTAAACAAGAAATCAATAACAGAAAGATAACCATAAAACGCCCAAATATTTGGTAATTAAATAACCCCTGGGTCAAAAAATCACGATGAAATTTTAAAATATTTTTAATTGAAAGGTAATAAATACCAAAACCTGTGGGGTATCTCTAAAGAAATGCTTAGAAGGAACTTAATAGTTTTAAAAGCATATGCTATAAAACAATAAAAGTTGAAAATCTAATATCCAATTTTCAATCTCAATAAGTTTTAGAAAGAATAACAAATCAAATCCCGCCAAAAAGTTGATGGAAAAAAAAACAATAAAATCAGAAATCAATGAAATGGAACACAGGTGAAATAGAGAAAACTAACAAAGTCAAAGGTCAGTTTTTAAAAAAAATTAATAAAATTGGGCCCAGTGTGGTACCTCATGCCTGTAGTCCCAGCACTTTGGGAGGCCCAGGTGGGAGGATCAAGGCTGCCGTGAACTATGATTGCACCATTGCACTCCAGCCTGGGCAACAGAGTAAGACCCTGTTTCTAAAAAAAATAAAAACTAAGAAAAAAATTGATAAATCCCTAGCAAGACAGATGTAGAGAAATAGAAAGAGAGCATTTAGCAATACCCCTACAGATCTTACAAATGTTAAAAGGATCATGAGAGGAAATTATAAATACTTTATTGCCAATAAATTTGACAATTTAAATGAAACAAACAAATCCCTTGAAAACGTCACTTAGCAAAAAGGGCACAAGAAGAAATATGTATCTGAATAGTCCTGTATTATTAGAGAAATGGAATCCATAATTAAAAACTTTTCCACAAAGAAAACTCCTAACCCAGATAGCTTTGCTAATGTATTCTTCCAAACATTTATAGAAGAAATAATACTAATCACACAAACTTCCAGATAACAAAAAAGAAGGAATACTTTCCAACCCCTTTTATGAGGTCAATCCTGATATCACAACCTGGCAAAAACATTACAAAAGAAAGAAAGAAAGAAAAATTATATCCATGAAGAATTATGCAAAAATCCTAAAGTTTAGTAAATCAAATCTAGGATATATCAAAATGGTAACACATCATGGTAAAGTAATTTATTCCAGTAATGACAGGTTGGTTTAACATTTGAATATCAATCAATGTAATTTACCATACAAAGAGAATGAAGAAGAAAGACCATATGATCAACTAGTAGATGTAGTAAAAACATTTGATAAAATTTAACACCTAGAGTTTTTATAGAAACAAAAATATCAGTAAACTAGAAATAAAGTTAACTTCTCCAAACTGATGATAAGTTTCTACAAAAAACGACAGGTAACATCTTACTGAGTGGTAGAATATTATATGCCTTCTATGTTCAGGAAAAAGACAAGAATGTCTATTATTACCCTTTCTATTCAATATTGTGCTGGAGGTTCTTTTTAGTCCAACAAAGCAAGAAAAATAAACAAATGTATAAATTTCACAAACAAAAAATAAAACTGCCATTACTCAGAGATAACATGGTTAAGTAGAAAATCCAAAGGAATCTATTAAAAATCAATTACAAATATAAAAACAAATAATATTTCTACAAATTTGAAAAAAATAATTAGGAAAAAAACCTAAAAAAATAATACAATTTACAGTAGCATCAAAAAAAGCCAAATACTTAAAAATCAAATGAAAGACTTCTATACTGTATAAAACACTGTGGAGAGAAATTAAGGTATGAAGAAATACACTATATTCACAAAAACTCAATAGAAAGAATAAGTATAGAAATGAACTCAATTCAATTCTCCCTAAATTAATCTATTAATCTAATGTAATCCCAATTATAATCTCAACAGAAACTTTTATAAAAATTGATAGGCTTATTTTTTTATATGGAAATACAAAAACCCTAGAATAGCTATGATATTCCTGAAGAAGAACAAAATTGGAAGACTATACTATCATACTTACATCCACATTTATTATATAAACCTACAGTTTAGACAATGTGGTGTTGGCCAAATATAGACAAATAGACCAATGCAACAAAATAGAGACCACAGAAACACTTCACATATAAGAATACATGATTAAACAATGGTGGCACCACCACAATATATTGTGGAAAGGTTAGTATTTTTAATAAAAACATTTGATCAGTTAGATATCTGTAAGAAAAAAATTTTGTACCTGTGTTAATATATACAAAAATTAATTTGAGATGGATACTAGGTCTCAATCTGAAACTAAAGCAATTAAGATTCTAGGAAAAACATAAGGAAAATATTATACCTTCTGACTTTGGGTTCAATAAAAATTTCTTAAATAGGACAGAGAAAGCACTCACCATAAAGGAAAAGCAATCTATTGGACATTATTAAAATTAAAGACTTCTTTTGTCAAAAACATCTTTAAGAAAGAGACAAGGCCAACCTAGAAGAAGATACTCACAATGCACATAGTACTCAATAAAGGACTTGCATTCAAGATATATGAAGAACTCCTCTACATGAATATTTATATTTTAATAGTACAGGTAATAGAGCTTGGGGGTTTAAAAATGGAAAGGTGAGGACCCTGCCGGAGCCGCCGCTGCCAGCGACATGTTCAAGGTAATTCAGAGGTCCGTGGGGCCAGCCAGCCTGAGCCTACTCACCTTAAAAGTCTACGCAGCACCGAAAAAGGACTCACCTCCCCCATATCCCATGAAGATTGATGAGCTTTCACTCTACTCAGTTCCCGTGGGTCAATCTAAATATGTGGAAGAACCACGGACCCAACTTGAAGAACGCATCTCACAGCTCCGACATTACTGCGAGCCATATACACGTTGGTGTCAGGAAACATACTCTCAAACTAAGCCCAAGATACAAACTTTGGTTCAATGGGGGTTAGACAGCTATGAATATCTCCAAAATGCACCTCCTGGATTTTTCCCAAGACTTGGTGTTATTGGTTTTGCTGGACTTGTTGGACTCCTTTTGGCTAGAGGTTCAAAAGTAAAGAAGCTGGTATATCCACCTGGTTTCATGGGATTAGCTGCCTCTATCTATTATCCACAACAAGCCATCACATTTGTCCAGGTCAGCGGGGAGAAATTATATGACTCGGGTTTACGAGGCTCCATAGTCGTAGAAGATTTATGGAAGGGGAGCTTTCAAAAGCCAGGAAATGTGAAGAATTCACCTGGAAATAAGTAGAAAACTCCATGCTCTGCCCATATTAATCAGTTATAGGTAAACATTGGAAACTCTATACAGTAAATCAATATTTCTGTATAGAGAAAAACAGAAAAATGGCAGAGAAGTCAGTATTGAATGTATTAAACTGGCTTTCTTCTTCAGGAAAAACTATACTAGGCCTCTGTTTTCTTGGGTGATACCATCCTACAAGCAAACTAATCTGAAATTTTTTCACCTGGTGATAATGTACAAGCCTTAGAACTCCTCATTCTCATGTTGCTATTTATGTACATAATTAAAATCCAAGTTAAAAAAAAAATGGAAAGGTGAATAAATGGGTAGGGATCAAATATAATGGCGAGTCAGATGATTCAATGTCAGCCAGATAGAGCAAGAAACAAAGGCTTAAACATTCTTTAAAGTAATAAATTAACATATAGAAGAACTAAGAAATAATAACATTATGACACTGGGAGTGGAGATAAGCAGGGCCATAGAGGATAAGTAACCTAAGCTCTCAATTACCTTTACAGAAAGGCAAGAAATCACTTCTAAATTGATAAAAAGTAATTGTACAAGCATATTACTTAGAAGCATGGCAGTAACTACTAGATCTACAACAAAAAATAGTTTAAAATGGTTGCCATTAGAGTATGAAGGTGGAGAAGAGTGGGATGGGGGAAAAGACTTGCTTTTCATTATAAATTCTTCTGTATTATTTTACTTATTAAAGAAGTATACATATTAATTTGATAAAAATATTTAAACATTTTAAAAACTGCATTCACATTACTATGACTATGTAAATAAAATCTAAAAAGTTTAGTCAAGCAATGTGCTACAACTATGCATCCTTTATTAGAAGTCACACTCTGGGCCACTTGAAGTAGATGGTATCGAGAATCAAGATCAAATGTATTCTCTTCACATCTTAGAAAAATTTTAATCTGTCTTATATTTAAACCAAGACTTTCATGATTAGCTCTTTTTCAGAGTTTCTAACCTCTTTTTCTACACCCAGCCTCACAGTCATGCTACCATGGGCTACCATTTTTCCCCCAGACATAACCTCAGGAGAGTCATTTGATATTCTGATCTAATTAAATCTATTATTATTTTTATTTCCTTCAGGTTCTGTTACATCTTTTTTCTTTCTTTTTTATTTGGGTGGGTATGTATGTATGTATGTATGTATGTATGTATGTATGTATGTATGTATTTAGGGAAAGAGTCTCACTCTGTTGCCCTGGCTAGAGTACAGTGTATCATCCTAGCTTAACAACCTCAACTCAAACTCCTGAGCTGAAGGAGGAATCCTCCTACCTCAGCCTCCCAAGTAGCTGGGACTACAAGCATGCACCACAATGTCCAGCTAATTTTTTCTATTTTTAGTAGAGACAGGGGGTCTCACTCTTGCTCAGGCTGGTCTCCAACTCTTGACTTCAAGTTATCTTCCTAACCTCGACCTCCCAGAATGCATTACAGGTGTGAGCCACCTCTCCTGGCCTCTCTCTTTTTCTTTTTGTTTTTACATCACTGGCTTTCCTTAAAAGTGAGTTGAACCTTGGTTGTCCATTAATACTTATGAAGATCTGTGTTAACTTTTCTAGGGAGCTACTATGAGTATCCTGTGTTTTTTGGCTGGAGTGCAGTGGTGGAATAATAGCTCACTGTAACCTTGAACTCTTGAGCTCAAGCAATGCTCCAGCCTCAGCCTTCCTAGTAGCTGGGACTACAGGCATATGCCAACATGCCTGGCTAATATTTCTATTTTTGTGTGCGTAGATAGGGTCTCATTATATTGCCCAGGCTTGTCTTGAACTCCTGGCCTCAAGTGATCTTCCTGCCTGGCCTCCCAAATCCTGTGCTTTTGGGTAAGTCTCCTGTTTCCCCACAATATTCTCACTCATTAATGGGAAAATTGGGGGCTTTGTGACATGAGTCGAATAACATAATCAGTAGGCTTTCTTTAATGGGTATGGTCAAGTAGCTGGCTATTAAGCAGGTTGTTCCTCAAATAAGAAAATTCAGAGGGTTTTACTGTGCCAAATCTATACTAGAATGAGCTTTTCCAGATGGTTTATTTGATTTTTCTTTTAAAAGAGATAAGCCATTGGGGTTATTTTGGGATTTGTTTGTTTGCCTAACAGTATGTATATATCCACCCAGCAGCATTTCTTTTCTTTTCTTTTTTTTTTTTTTTGCAACTGTCAGAGAGAAGCAGCAGACTTTTGACTATTGGTAAATATCCATCTACCTGCAGCTCTGGATCTGGTAGTGACAGTGGAGACAACTGGCACAGCTGTTCCATGTACAGATCTTCAATTAACCCCTTCTTTTCAGTTGTCCTTTCAGCCCTTTCAAATTGCTAACTCCAAATTCATGTCCTTTCTGGGGTACCAATGACAAACCAATTCCCTCAATGGAAACGCCCCAAGGTGTGTCTAGGCAAGTGCTTCTACACAGTTTGTCCAACAGGATGCTACCATCTATTTTTGGTTTTCCAGAAATTAGATAAAATTTTCATCTGCTCATCAACTCCCTTATCTCTGTTATAAATTAAACATTTATATACTGTCATTTCAATGGGCTCCTGGTTGGATAGAATGTAAAAATGTGTGCTCCGTCTATCAATACACACATATACACACATACACTTGTGTGTTTATATGCATGGCTTATCTGCTGAAGCTCCTTTAAGGGCAAGGAAGTATTATAAAATGGCCAGCACGGTGCCAGGAATATAGTAAGTATTCAAAGATGTGTGGCTAGTTGGATGTGGGAAAAAAGAAGTTACAAATGATAGAAAAGCTTAAGCCTGGATAATGAGTATACTGATAAAAACCAATTAAGAAAGAGTAAGTTTCAAAAGAAAATTAGCCAGGTGGAGTAGTACACTACAGTCCCAGCTACTCAGCAGGCTGAGGCAGGATAATGGCTTGAGCCCAGGAGTTCAAGACTAGACTGGGCAATATAGCAAGATCCCTGTCAAAAGAAAGAAAGAAAGAAAGAAAGAAAGAAAGAAAGAAAGAAAGAAAGAAAGAGGAAGGAAGGAAGAAGAAGGAGAGAAGGAAGGAAGGAAGGAAGGAAGGAAGGAAGGAAGGAAGGAAGGAAGGAAGGAAGGAAGAAAATTCTTATTTTAGTATTAGAAATCAATATAGTTATGCCTCAGCATAGGTTTTTTGGCATTGGTAGAGGCAAAAGAGGCAAATAATGGAAGCTACTTTGTAATATTTGAATAACTGATATAAAGGGGATCTTATGTGCTAGAAACAGAGCCATATCACTTCACACAAAATTACCAGGCACAAAGTACTACTGCTATCAGAAAAAAAAGAGTGAAGTCATTTTAACTATTGGCTCTCACCCAATCAGGTAAGTCAACTTGGAATATTCCTTATAGCTAGGAGGCCAGCTATGCCCATATAAGAGCAAGATAAGTGACTACTAAATTACCCCAGATACAGTGTATTAATAAACTTCAAGCTCCTCAATAGTAGGTACTCTATAAAAATTTAATGAGTGAATATATTCCTAACAACTGCTCACTAACCTAATTCCTGAGTCAAGAAATAAAATGTTTAGAAGTAAAAGTTAAATAAGCCTATTATGAATACTTTCATTGACAGTAGCCATCATCCAAGTGCCTGGCCCAGACTATAATAAACTCAATAATATTTGTGAGGTTAACGAAATAACTAATTAATTGTAACTTTCTGAAACTCTAAAAAGGAAATCTGTCTTATAAAGTGAAGGGTGTTACACAATTCTGTAAATATAATAAAAACTGTTGAATTGTATATTTTATTCTAAAAACCATTGAACTGTTCACTTTAAACAGGTGAAATTTTTGACATATAAATTATATTTCAATAAACTGCTAAATAAACTCACAAGGAAATTTTTCCAGGCCTGCTGAATGACTCTGGCAGCTTTATCTGATGTTAATTTTGAATCCTGTTCCCAAGGCATTTGAAATTCCTAAAAGAAAATAAGAAAAAAGGTTACATTTAAAATTATTTTATATGATCTGTTATAAAACTATCATTAGAATTTAATGAAAATTAAAGAGTTGTAGAAATGAAATAATGAAAATCAGATTTGTATCAAAATAATAAAAATAACAATAGTCACCTACTATTGATTGCCTAATATGTTCTGATTTGTTGTTTTTTTCCTAATTCCAACAACAACCTTGAATAGCAGATTTTACTAATATGTTTATGTTAAAGATGAGGAAACTGACCTTCTAGGTCTAAGGTTAAATAGCGAGTAACTAAGCCAGTATTAAACCCAAGTCATCTTGTCTTAAAAGTCCACGATCTTTACATACACTGTTGTATTTCTTCAAATAAACCTTTGTTAATCAACATGTACAGAGACAGAGTTCCATCTGTAAAATTGCCCAGGTCCCTAACCTAGAATGACAAATGATTACAGACTTTTCCTTTCTTTGTAACTCTTAACTACATGGACTACTTAATATATCATGCATTAAAATGTCAAAAAAAGATGAAGCTTGAATATTAAGGAACAAAACAAAATCACTAATTCTAATTTATAATTCTTATTAATACTATTTAGTATTTAAATAGTATTTAAGAAAGATTTAGTAATGAAGAAGTCAGAAAGATATTACAGTTTGAGTTCTTTAAAAAGTTGCAGCATAGGCCAGGTGCAGTGGCTCACGCCTGTAATCCTAGCACTCTGGGAGGCAGAGGCAGGAGGATCCTTTGAGCTCAGGAGTTTGAGACCAGCCTGAGCAAGAGAGAGACCCTGTCTCTACTAAAAAAATAGAAAGAAATTAACTGCACAACTAAAAAATGTATATAAAAAATTAGCTGGGCATGGTGGTGCATGCCTGTAGTCCCAGCTACTTGGGAGGCTGAGACAGTAGAATTTCTTGAGCTCAGGAGTTTGAGGTTGCTGTGAGCTAAGCTGACACCATGGCACTCTAGCCAGGGCAACAGAGTGAGACTCTGTCTCAAAAAAAAAAAAAAAAAAAGTTGCAGCATAAATTGTTATTTATGCTGCTTAAATGCTTATAACACTAAAAAAGCATCTCATTCAAAACTGAATGATTGATTAGATCAAATAATGAAATTATTCCAGTATTGCTCCAGTGTTATCAGAAGAGTGATATACAAGAATTTTCTGTTTGTGTAGGTTATATAAATTATGTTTAATAATTTTAATCACTTTTCAGTATATATGAGAGAAAATACAAGGTATACATAAGATTTGCAGCAAGTCATTGCTTTTGGTAGTTTTCTTACATATAATCATAGAAAGAAGACTAATGAACTAAAAGACTGAAGATGTGCTTTAGTTCACACTGCTATTTAATATAACCTTGGACAAATAGGCTTACCATCTTTAGGCTTCAGTTTTATCATTTGAAAATGAAAGCATTACAATAAATTAACTCCAAAGTTGCAGTTTCACAACTTTGTGAGTTTACATTATAAGGCCAAATGGTCAAATATAGAGAGAAAAAAAGTCCTGCACTAAACACAGGGAGAAACATGGATTTCCACTTAATCTCAGACTTATTAATCCTTTACAGTATAACTAGTGTAACTCATTACATTTACAATAGAAAAATGGTTCTGAGATGCTTTATCATAGTCCAAAGTGAATAAATTTTGCTTAAAAATTTAAAATTCTGAACTGTTACTTATAAAATGCAAAATGTGTAAGGATTTATAAATCCAAAGGCCCTGAACTATTTAAACACATAATACACACTACTAATATGCACATTATATTTAGAGAGACAGAGGCTAAACAGAAAAAATGTCTAAGGGAGATGCCATTTATAGGAAAAATAAAAGAAAAAACTATTTATGTGTTTTCTTAATTTGTTATTTTCTCTTTTGATGTTTTAAATTATTTAGGAGCTTAAAATTAAAGGTATTTCTTCCTAATTTTATATATTGCTTTTTTAAACTAACATTTTTATGAATATGGAGAAGGTTTTCTATGAAAAATAATCTGTCCTTTTTCTTTCCCTACAAATACCCTTAGTGATACAGGATGGGTAGACAGGTTAAGTCTTTGGGCTCTGATGTAAGATAGACCAGGATTTAAATCTCAACAAATTCTTCCTCACACTTAGCTATGTGATCTTGCAAAAATTATTTAACTTATTCAAACTCCTCATTTTTAAAATATGGGGACTCACAGTACATACCTCACAGAATTGTGAGGATTAAATCAGATAATACAGGCAAAGCATTTAGCACAGTTTTTGAGCCACCATAACCACTCAATGAATCATATCTATTAGTACAATACAGTTTTCTAAAATAAGAACTATTCACATTATTCTGGTTAAAAAACTGATGTAACTAAACATTTTAAGCACAATTATTCTCTTAATTTACAAATAACTATTAGAACAAATGGGAATAAGGAATGATATTTGGAGATTAAAAGATTTGTTAATGTTGATCAAGGGATAGTATTTTGAGGAATATTATTTCTAACCAGCAGGTAGAGAAATAAAAGTATAATTTATCTTTATTTCAGGAAAAAATTTTTTCCTTGTGAATGGTGTGCAACTAGTTTTAATAATTTTTACAGACATTGTCATTATTTATATCATTAGAAGACACAAATACAGAAGGCAGCTCTGCCATCTGAACTTTATAACTTCTAAAAAATGATATCAAAATTTCAATTTTAAAATATGATAAAACATAAACACAGGTATAATGAATTTTGAAACACAATAGTCACCTTAATTCATTACTCTTATGTTTTCTTTTTTTTTTCTTTATTTTTTTTTTCTATTTATTCTCTTTCTCATGGAACATCACAGAACTGAATCTTATGTTTTCTTGTCCGTGTTCTTTTTCACTGGTCAACATACAGAACATAGTTATTTTGGTTATTCACAAATAACAGGATAATTAAAAATCATCATTAGAGATACATGTAAATATCAATCCCTATGTAATATCTCATTACTATTTAAAATTCAAAATTATTAACATTGTCTATATTTGTTTGCTTTAAAAGTTATTTACATCATACACAAATGCAAATATAGAACTAGAGTAAAAAAGTGAAAATCATCAACCCTTCATTTCTTCTATCTCAATTCTCTACAAAGGTTATCTCTGTTATAGATGTTTTCTTATATATTAAAAATTAGAAAAAATTAAAAATATGTGTATATATATATACATTTTACAAATGTATATATACAAATATACGTACACATACATACAGGATTTTTGCATTAATGTGATCAAACTATACATATTTTATTTTTTTAGTTCATAATATGTGCTGGAGACTTTTCTATATTAATACATAAAGATCTTGCTCATTCTTTTTATAGTTGCACATTATTCCTAAGGATGGATATGTCATAATTTACTTAATCTTTCCTCCATTATTAGACATTCAGGTTGTTTCTTTTTTGTTGTTATAATTCCAAAAGGAATATCCTTATACATATATTTGTACACATGTGTAACTATTTTTGTAGGAGAAATGTTTAGGAGTGAAATTGCTGTGATAAAACGTATGCACATAAATATTTGCACTGACTCTTTCTGGAAGGGGACATAAGAAACTGCTAAGAGTATCTCTGGGGAGGGACCTGGGTTCAGGAATGAAAAAGAGATTTTATTCCTTTATACTCTTTTATACTGTTTGATACTTTTTTCACAATGTGCATGTAGTTCAGATATACACCATATAACTTCATAACTATATATGCAACTTCAAAAAAAAATGCACATTAAAACTAAAATTTTGACAGTACTAAATTGTCTTCAAAAATGCTGTCCAATTTACAGCCATAAACATTCTATGGGAGTGCTTAATTCTAGATTTTACAAAAGAAAAAGTGAAAAACTCAACACAAATAGGACATTAGGACTACAGATCTTTTAACATTATTTCCAAGAATTAAACTGTATGATTTTTTATTAATGCAAAATGATTGGTTTCAACTTATAAAACAACATATGTGTTTATGATACCACATGATAGCATTAGTGCTAATTCTTGAAAATTTCGTCATTTTCACAAATACATTCCCAATTTTGTAAGTAGAAATTTAACACTGGGTCTTAAGAATCCCTTCAAATTTACTGTGTGAACATGTCTGAACCAGTTTATTGGGCACTTTGATCTAAATAATTTCACCCATACCTATTTCTGCACATACCTGCTTCCTGTTTCTCTTGTGATCGAGGCCAAAGGGTGTTTAGAGGCTGCCAAAGAAGTTACTAATATTGCCTTTTGAAATAAACAGTATCTTTATTTGTGTATTTGTTGAACATGTTTACTATCTATCTTGTCTCCCTACAATGTAAGTTCCTTCAGAGCAGACTCTTTCTTCTTATTGTTATATCCCCATTTCTAACAAATAGGTGATCAATAAAGAAATTAGCTGGCTGACTGAATAGGAGATTGGTTAAATAAATTATGATGCATTCATACAATAGGATATTGTAAGTATGTTTAAAATGATGCTATAAATGTATATATTAATAGTTTGTCATGAGCAAGACACCACCACATTGCAGATTTGACCTGAAAAGTGTACACAGATAAGATAGAGATGGGATGGGGCATGAGGGAGAGGGGTGGATCTCTGTAAGTAGATCTCTAATAGTTTTGCTACTCTGAGTGTGGTCCATGGCTATGGCAGTCCCTAAACTGTATGTTACCAGATGAAATAGAGAAATTGAGAGTAGTTAGAAACTTTTATAGCAATTTGACATTGCTATAGCATATAAACACATTAGTGGGCTTGTAGTTTTTATGTCTTCTGGGGTTTTTTCCTTGTTCTAGGAATTCGTTATTGTATTTTACAAAAGTAATGGTCTGCAACACATTAGAAACATGATCTGACTTGTATTTTCAAAGTATCACTCTGAAGGCCGGGCGTGGTGGCTCATGCCTATAATCCTAGCATCTGGGAGGCCAAGGCCGGAGGATCATTTGAGCTCACCAGTTCCAGACCAACTGAGCAAGAGCGAGACCCCTGTCTGTACTAAAAAATAAAGAAATTAGCTGGACAACTAAAAAAAAAAAAAAATATATAATATATATATAATATATATATATATATTAGCTGGCATGGTGGCACATGCCTGTGTTCCCAGCTACTTGGGAGGCTGAGGCAGGACGATCACTTGAGCCCAGGAGTTTGAGGTTGCTGTGAGCGAGGCTGATGCCATGGCACTCCATCCTGGGCAACAGAGTGAGACTCTGTCTCAAACAAACAAAAAAAAGTATCACTCTGAAGAGGCACAAAAGAAAACAAAAGAAACCCCTAAGCTGTAGTTATGGTTCATCCATGAATAATTACATAGTCACAATAATGTAAATATTAACATTACCAAAATGTATGCTACAATAGTAGTACCCCATAATTATATACCCCATGATAACACCACCCATGATAATGTGAATTTGGATATAATATGATTGATTACTGGCTCCTATCCTCAAAACAGGTTCACCCTAGATATTTAATTAATTTTGGAATAAATCTTATATTGATGCAATTAAAAATTTGGACCCTATTTAGTGCTACAGCATGATTTTTTTCTTTTAATTAGGAAGAAGTGGAACAAGTCACTCACATCAACGAGGAATAATGAAGTTCAACATCATTTCAAGAATGAGCTTGTTAAATGTTGTTGGAGGGTCAATAAACTGGGAATAAAGTATTAGATTTGGCCAGATAAAGTCACTTGTGACTTTGACAGGTACTGTTTCAGTGGAGTAGCAGGGAAGGAAGCCTGAGGTGGGTAGAGGAAGTAGAATAGTTTAAACAATAAAAACAGTAACAATTCTTTGGAGAGCTGTAAGGGAGCAGAAAAATGAGATGGTGATGGGAAGAGGGTAGCTCGGAGGTGGGAATGGGTTAAAGGGATTTTTTTTTATTTTTAAATACGAGAGATACTAAAGCATGTAAAGATTTACGATCCAGTAGTGAGGAAGAAATTAAAGGTACAGGAGAGGTATAAATTAAAGAGTAAAACTCTGAGTTGGTATAAGAGACAGATCAGAAAGGACAGTTGCTGGCCTTAGGTAAGAAATAAGATCTACTTTACATGGCTATTATGAGACTCCAAATAAATTAACCAATGTGAAAACACTTCATAAACTGTAAGATACTAAGAAGTACTATCAAACCACTGCTCTGGTAATGAAGTATTTTACTACACCCAGGTGCCACTTGCAGATTCAAAGATAAAAGATTTTGCAAGCTTATTACCTACTCTGGGAGACACTATCCCAAATCAATGAAAACTTTTATTGTGGACGATGTTTCCACTGATCTGTTTTTAGGCTTCGTGATAAGCGCACAAGATGTTTGGGTTCTTGGTTTCACGTACTTTAAAAGCTTTACAACAGTCTTAAAATTAATTTGCTGGGATCCGAACCTGTACTTCCTATTTTGTTTCCCTTACTAAATTTTACTGAATAAACAAATGTGTTTCGTGGTTATCAGTTTCATAATTTTGCTTTTCTATCTGTGGTCCTTTACACTGAAGGACTGAGGAAGAGGAAAAACTACTGCTAACCTACTCCTTAAAAACGCCTTTCCCAATCTCTAAATAATTAATTGTCTCTTTGTAGAGCAGCAGAGATTTGTGAATACGCAAATTGGGCAACGAGAAAGCTTTTCAAACTGACCGACGCAACTTCACCAAGGGAGAGGAAAGGAAGCCCCGGAGAAGGGGTTAACCTCAGGCAAGATTATAAACTAACGGGGGTAGGCCTAGTGGGGTGAGGGGCTTTACAGGAATGAAACATCCTTAAGAAGGATAACAGGGCACGGACATCAACGGTATGGGGCCTTTAAGGACCTGAAACTGGAAAGGCTCAGTCGCCACAACGGCGGAAAAGGAATGGTACAGGCGGAGAGGAAGGGGACACCAATTCCTTCACCTGCCAATCGGCGCTGGACGGGGCTCCGCCTGTTTCCTTGGTAACATCGCAAGCGGAAATGACGTAAACCTAGTTCCGTTCTCTCCCGCCCCGCTTGCCTTCTTAGGCCCCGCCTCCCAGGCCCCGCCTTCTTGGCTAAGAGCTTTTCTCCAACTCCGACCTTGCAAAGTCCTCCGGATGCAGAAACTGTTATGAATGAGTAGGGTTGGTTCTGTTAGAGCCTTCACTTGGATTGTCACTGGCTTTGAGGCAAAGGATTTTGAAAGGGAAACCAAAGCGATTGTTTACAAAGTTCGGCACTATTAATATATTATAAAGCCTGATAACTTCAAGCAAGGACCTTAACGATGTTGGAAAAATAAAATGAAATATTATCTATTTAATGTATTCATTTGAAAATAAGAAAACTGATCCTTCTAGTGATCTGACAAGTCTTGCTCAAGGTCAAAGAATAAGTAAGCACAGAACTCATGACTGCAGTCCGATGCTGTTTCTAACTTTAGGCTCTCTAGCTGGTAAAGCCTAAACCAGTTTTTAAGGGAAAACAGATGACTTCTAAATGAGTTTTCTAATAAACGATATAAACAATACATATCTAAAGAGAGTTTGATTTGCTTGAATTCTGAATATCCAACAGTGTGGCAATGCTTTAGTTGGTCACAAATTACAGCATTGTAAAATAATCTTGTTCAGAACTGCCCAGTTCTGCTATTTCCCTCCTATGTTCATGCATATAATTATTAATAGTTTGTAAGGAAGATGAACTTCTAGGGGGAAAAAAACCTCACAGAAAATTTTCTCTGTATAAAAACATTTGTACAGAAGAAATTCCTTGTGGGTTAATTCAGTGATTCACTGAACTTCCAGAGTTCTTTAAAGTCATTATCACAGTCATAAGCAGGTAGGGGAACTTTAGTTCCTCTTTAAGTATTTACCTTGATACATTAATACACAGTAGTTATGAATAATAAACTGTAAAAATATAGTCATGGAAAGAAACATTATGAGGCTGGGCATAGTGGCTCATGCCTGTAATCCCAGCACTTTGGGAAGCCAAGATGAGAGGATGAGACCAGCCTCGTCAACATAGCAAGGCCCCATCTCTACAAAAAATAACAAAATTAGCTAGGTGTGATGGTATGCACCTGTAGTCCCAGCCACTCAGGAGGCTGAGGTAGGAGGATGGCTTGAGCCCTTGAGTTTGAGGCTACAGTGGTTGATCGCTCACTCACTCCTCTCGGTTGCGTTGAAGATCCGTCTCTACAAATAAATGAATAAAATAAATAAAAGTATATTTAAGAAATACTGCCTTGTTTATATATTTACTTTAAAAAACTTATATATTTTAAAATGAAGTCCTTGTCTGAATTTACTAAAGGAAATTAACAATGGTTACTATTGAGTACTTATTACGTTACCTCTAACTGATACAAGAACTCAGCAATTTCTACTACTAGGCTCAAACCTTCTGTTGTTGATCTAAAACATGTAAGAATCTTTCAATTCTTCAAAGAAAATATTCCTTTAAATTAGCCACAAAGGGATCATTAACATTCAAAATCTAAAGTGGTTATGTTTAGTCATTTACATGTACCTGCTTATCTGAAACAGTTTACTAGGAAGGCACAAAGAACTTCTGGTGTTTCATAGAAATATTTCCCACCTGCGCTCCTTCTCGTTCCTTCCACTCATTCTTCTTTTCTTTATCATATATACATAGGTATTTATTTATGAATTATATTTTTGGTTTCAGTAAGAAGGAAAAATTTTTCTTTATAACCATGACAACAGAGAGAGAACAAGAAGATTGGTATGAAAAGGGGAAAGTAATTTATAGTCGGGCAGAGGGAAAAGTTCACATAGATGTATTTCTCTCCTCTGCTGCTTTGGCATGCAACAAACTTCAGCAATAGACAGAGTGCCCCTGGATGTGAGCCTGGACTCTTTATAATTATGGAAATTTCATTGGTAGAAACCACAATGTCACACACGAGAAGTGGGGTGGATCAAGGCACAAGTACAGCATGGCCTAAAGGAAGCCAGAGGGACCTCTAACCAGGCATCATCCTCCTGGTGAGGTTTAGCAGTTTGAAGTGGCTAGCGAAAGGCACTGGTATCTTTAGCTAATTCTTTGCACAGAAATCTGTCTCCTTATCCCATGACTCTTGTTGAAGGATTTTCTGTTGCTTTCTTAGAAGAGGCTTTTTAATCCACAATGCTAGTAGCAATTAGTGAGTGTACAAAAATCAAAATCAGGGTCATACTAAGTCTATGAGTTAGATTTCTTTTTTCTGCTTTAATATACTAAGTGATACAAAATTCTCTCTTTCTATAGGACAATTAAATTTGGTAATGAAAGAACTATGCAATAGGTCGGGCACGGTGGCTCACGCCTAATAATCTAGCACTTTGGGAGGCCGAGGCGGCGGATTGCTCAAGGTCAGGAGTTCGCAACCAGCCTGAGCGGACCCTTCTCTACCAAAATAAAAGAATTAATTGACCAACTAAAATATATATACAAAAATTAGCCGGGCATGGTGGTGCATGCTGTAGTCCCAGCTACTTGGAGGCTGAGGCAGTAGGATGGCTGGAGCCCAGACATTTTGAGGTTGCTGTGAGCCAGGCTGATGCCACGGCACTCACTCTAGTCTGGGCAGAAAGTGAGACTCTGTCTCAAAAAAAAAAAAAAAAAGAACTATGCAATAATAGCAGTGGTATCTTGGTGAATTGCTCTCAAAAACAAACAAAAATCAATTAACCAATTCCTGGTTTGTAGCATTTGCCAATTTCTGGTACTGAAAATACTCTCACCATGGGCAATTGTAAGGGACCAATGTGATGTCTCTCAATGTGAACTGGAGCAAATCCAATGAGAGCTGGTAGGAGCCAGCTCTAGACAATCACTGCATGGCACTTTTTCTTAGGGAAGTTGTTATTGTAGACTCTGTGCTTGCCACTGTAGCACCCCTGCTCGTGGATACTTGCACTTTACAGGCTACTTTCTATTACTGTTTGATCACAAATGAGATAGTTATGTAAATTTAAATTGTATCTTACACTTAACACACTTCATGGAACCTGAGTGGGAAGTCATGGGGAACACCTGAATTTTTAGCCAGCTGGTCAGAAGTGTGAGTGGTCTGGAACCTCACTTGCAGCTGCTATCTATAACGGGTAGTTAGCACCAGAAATCTGCTGAAGTACACCAAGTTGGGAGTGAAACAGAACAGGTGTCTTGCAAAAATATTCCTTTTTCTTAACTCTCTTCCTCTCCTCCCCTTACTTCCGGCTGTCTTGTCTCCCTCTATTATGTATGCCATCGCACCCAGGGCCACCTCCCCCCACCAATTCCAGGTTTTGCTATTTCTTCCTATAGAATAAAGAAATTCATCTCTTACTTTCCTTGTGTTTAAGAAATGTTGTAATACAAGATATCAGCTTAAAGTTAACGGTTCCCTCTTCCACCTAACTCTACAAAGAGGACTTGGCTTAGAAGAGACTTGGCTTTTCTCAGTGTCTGGAATGGCTCCACAAGAGGTCCATTTGTTCTCTGCCTACTCCTCTTGTATTCTCACCATCAACAGAAAATAATGGTGTTGAGCTTAAATATTTTTTCTGTAATAGATTTCTGCCCACTAGGGATTGAGTGGTGGTGATAAAGGTTTTGGTTCATTTATTCATAAAGACATAATAGAATTAAAATTAGGCCAACTTAGTTACAGAGATACCAGGGCTATAGGTAGTTAAAATCTCTTTCTCAAAAAACAAAAGGCATCTTTTCTCAAATTTCTATTTAGAAAATTTACTTTATTTATAAAGCATATATAATATGACCCATGATATAAAATTCTAGACATAGATATAAAAACAGTATAATGGAAAATATAAATATCCATTTTCTTTTCCTATTTATTGTACATTGATTGTCTTTTCCCAGGCTGGCATTTTTCTTTATTTCGCAATTAGATTCATACTTATAGTAAAAGCAGTTTAAATATTATAGAAAAGTATAAAAGAAAAAGGAAAGATTCCCTTCTCTCCATTATCTCCTCAGATATTAGTGAATCTCCTTCCAAACTTTCAACCACACGGATGCATTTTTGTTTGTAAACCAGAATGCCATGTAAAACTGATTATTTGAAAGGCTATGGCCAAAATGGCAAGATGGAGGATTATCTAGATTAAGGCTGCTCTCTCCCTATAGAATTTCTTGAGGGGTTTCACTTTATTTCTCAAACACATTCTTTCTGTTTACTCCCCAAAGCTGCCTGGTTTGATTCAACTTGCTTTTAATGAGTAGGCCTGTTTTGACAGCAGGTGATGTAAATGTTAAAAATGTAAGATGTTTCTAACAAAATACCATGAGGTTCAGGGCAGGGAAGTATGAGGGAGGCAATCTTTCTTGCCATAATCCCAGTTTTGACAAGCCCCAAACACTATGTACAATGTATGTAAGACATGGATTCAATGGGGTATGGTCTTAGGACAGTTCGCCTTTTATTTTATACTTGTGTACTTGTGCTTTTGAACAATTGATGAGTATTAGAGTTTGCCTTGGATATTTGGCTTTGATTAGACTGTTCTGAAATTTGGTTTTGCTCAGTTTTAAAAAAATCCTGTGTTCTCATTATTCTTCAGAAAAAATAGATATGACCACTTTAAAATGGCTACATTGTTTTCCAGAGTAAGTCAATATTTCAACTAGGAGAGTAAATATTTTTAAATTGGGAGTGTCGCTAGCTTTTGTTTTTAGAGCATAAAGGTAAAGATAGTGAACTGAATCTTGGATTGGTGGTACTACAAGGAGTGTGTAATGAACTTCCAGGCTATGAGTTCTAAGTCATGGCCCTGTCCTAAAAGGAAGAGGAAATTTCTAAAGTCTTTATCTAAGCAACAAAACCCACTGAAATAGAGGAGTGGTGGTGTGAGGTGCTTGCCCCTGTTGTTGGCATATTAGTGGATCCCAAGATACCAGGCTTCCTAAAGCTTGTTGTAGAGGTTTTCA